AAAATATTTTTATTGACAAAAACTGCGTTCAAAACATTAATTACAAGACAAAATTTTTATACAGAAAACTATACACACTAGAATGTATTTATATGATGCTTTTCATATATTATTTTAAAATTTTTAAAAATTTCAAAATGTCAAAAATCCTTTTTCGGATTAATCATTCAAAAGCACTGCAATTTTTTTTTGTTTATTCTCCTTCTGTTTGTACTTTTATTAATTTTATATTTGGTTTTCGTTTCTAATATTCAGATCTCTTAGAAAGAATAATACTTAATTTATTTTAAAAGTAGGAAAACTGCACTTACCTGAGCCTCCACTATTGTTTGCACATATTTTAATTTCATTGTTCCTATTTGACTTTGTTTCACTTTGTTAATGTTTTTATTAATTACAAGCACGCTTTTTTTAATGTTGTCATTCCAAAGGAAGTAACTACGGAAACAACTTTTCCCAATACACCTTGTTGCCAAACTACTATTTATTTTAAGGAATTGATTATATTTTCTATTTTAGGAGAATTAATAAGCAATAAACTTAAATCTTATCATGAGTCAGTGTTACTGAATACTTAACTGTTAATATCATTAATTGAATTATTATAAATGCATTTCAAGATTTATCTAATTGATTTTTGATTGAAAATATTTTTTTAGTTTTTCATGCCTTTCATATTTTTAAAAATAACAAAAATACTATCACACACCACTTTATTGAAAAACAAATACAGAAGTAAGTAACATATCAATAATGCAGCACATTGTTAATAAAGTTATAAAAAGATCAACAAAATTTATTTAACTTCTTAAGAAATTTAAACCTGTTAGGTAGGTATTAATAAAATTCACAACATATCAAATAGGTATATAAATAGGGGTGATGTACATGTAAAGTTTTACTTTTCCTGGTCATTAAATAAGTAAATAGTATTAATAAACTTAAGTCTAATAGTGCAAATCAGTCTAACAGTAACAGTAATATAATTGTATATGCAGATATAAGTAGTGGTAGTAGTAATTAATTGCAAGTCCAGTTAAAATAAGGGCTACAAACAAATAGCGGGATGGTGTATCGTATATAGTTGCATTATATGTTTAATGTTTTTGATTGTGATAATCGAGGATGTTTTGACAGTAGGTATAACAAGGAGGAATTAGAGACAAGCGATATTGATAGAAGAGTATGAACGGTGGGCAAGGCGGAAAGGAAATAGTTTATTTATGTGGTATCATGCATATATCATTTTTCATTTTAAGATTCTGTTTTCAAATATTAAGCTTTGATTCAATTTTCATGGTGGTTGTCGGCATACCTTTTTCTCTCCCCAATTTTCTCCTAATTTATAAACAAAGACAATCATGTCTGTTTGTGCAACTGCAAGTTTTTGAGAGTCGGGACTAAATGCGATGCTTCTAATTAAATAAGATCGCTTTCCTGCTTCGCTATCTGCAGGTTTCGTAGAAAATCTGTCACGCTTTTCTCCATTTTCGTCAAACAACAATATTTGTCTGTCGGCTGTGGCCACGGCGAACTTTAAATTGTTCGGAGACCATGCCAACCCTAGAATTTTAGCTTCACAATTCTGTNTATATATATATATATATAAGCAGTTAAATATATAGCTTTAACAATTCTAATAATAAAAAGGAACATCAACAAGTATGCATCTTACAAAAATAATACTTCATGTGATTTTGAGAAAGAAATTTTTACTTTTTCACTCTACGTACAATACATATATTGTATTGTATATGACTGTCGTGTATGCATTAATATTACAGCGATCACATAACAACTTTTAAAGCATTCAGAAACGGACTACCAAAATATCACTTTATACATCATATATTATATAAATATACTGTTTCACAACATCAAGACGAAAACTAAAACCTTTGCCGCAGCAAAACGATTGATTATTAGTAGTAGAGAGATATTTCGACATGGTTAGATGGGTAACTTATAACAGAATCTGCCATTTTAGTTGATTTTAACGCTACCTGTTGAAAATATTTCGTATTACCCCCCTTTTCCCTAGATGGATGGTATACAATATTTTTAAATAAATGTTGATTGACTCAGAAAGGATAGACAACATAAGGGTCCGCTGCGCTATGAGCCACTGTGCATCAATTTCGGTATTATCAGGCGTCAACCTCTTGTTTACGCGTCACATCGAATGCGTACTGGCTTACTGCGCAACGAACTGCCGTATGCAACTTCTGGCTCGTGCTGTACATTAAGAATATAGTTTTCTACTCACTTCGAATTGACATTTCACTCGAAACTTGTTTTTTCTAAATTGATTAGGTACTCATGAAAAGCATACCATACAACTTGTCGAAATATCTCAATATTATTTTTGATATTATTACACTTATTGCCTAAAATGTAATTGTATAGTAAGTAGCATTAATAGAACTTATGCCTACCAGATAGTTTTGGGTTTTGTAGCTGCTAAAGGCACTCGCAAACAAGAAAACGTTATTCTGCTTACGATTTTGAAAACCTATTCTAAAGGTTGACCAAACGAAATATTCCTTCCAGCGTGTATCATTGTTACTACCACATCAATCGCTTGTTCGTATTATTACGTTAATAATATCTAACAAACCTGACAAAAAAATTGAGATGTTTAATTTGTGAAAGTTTTAAGACATTATACAAAGCCACTGCGTCGTCTGGCAAGACCCAGAAGCGTTCATTCAATTTATTATTTATTCAGATTAAATTTGCTGTACTTCTTCATTATTCATTACCTTATCATAGAAACGAATATTTCGTTTAAATGGTATATTAGCATCATCGTCAAGCGAAAAGTCTTTTATCAACGGTAATAATGTCAAGATGATATCACAATGACCAAGCATTCTCAAAAACTGGACTTTTATTTTGGCAAGTGTTAAATAATACCTTTTAGCCATATTTAAAAGATACATACGACTTGTTCTCTTTAAAATATTGCATTAATAGAAAAATTAACCAAAATAAAAACGAGATCAGAAAGAAGATTCTCACTACGGAACCGAAGAACAAAATTAAAACTTACATCAATCCTAGTTTTATTTATATTATTTTGTTTTCTTTTTCCATTTTTACAATACTGTTTTTGTATTATCCTATTTTTTTAAAAATATTTTTTGACTTGTTCTAAATAGAGTTTTGTAATTTTGGTGCCTATACTTAAGTATATAACAACGTAGAGTCCAGTTTCGAGAACACATCACATAGTAGTCGTAATTAATTGAGCTATAAGGAAAAGAATTTTAGGAAAGCGGATGGCGGTATGGGACTGGGAGGTAGAGCACCACCTGATCTTTGAATACGTTCTCGAAACTCTGGACATTGGTCTGCGATGCAAGGATGTCCTAAAGATCGCCAAAAAAGGCAACAACAGTATCGGCAAAGCGACAACATCTCAGCGTACTGACGGTCTTCGCGGGGAGTAAAACTTCTAAAAGTTTAATGTGTCTTTGGTAATTGGCTGATTGTATTTATTAGGCGAGGAGATTTACAAAAATTCTTAAAGCGTGGTTTATTTGAAATACAGTAAAAGTTCCTTATTCACGGTTTCCTTATTCGCATTTTCATTATTCGCGGGTGAAAAAATTGTAACCCAGTTCCTCTATTCGCGGCTAAAAATTTCATTATTTGCGGATGCAATCAGTAAACAGAAAAAGATTTGGTGTCATTTATTATGGGGATTGACCGCAATAGACCGCCCGTGCCTAGTGTGAACTTTTCCGAACATTGTGATTTAACGCTGCGAGATAAGTATGNTTGATGCTTCTTGTAGGACACGTATTTTCAATAGAAATTAAAAAAATAAAAAATGGCCATCGACAGGCTTTACAACAAAGCTTTATCTATCTTATTACAAAATTTCAAACCTCTGTTCCAAACATTAAACTCACGATATCTAGAACAGATAAGCATGTTTTTACTCTGCGGCGCGTGTACTACTGAATCCCCTTAATGTATCGGCAAGATGTAACCGAGTAAACAGCAAAGGATTCGGTGTTATTTTTCAATGTATCGCCATCTATTAAGTACTGTTGGCTCGTACCGAGGCGACTTTTATAAAAGGTGTAACCGAGTGGACTATTTCAAAATTCAAAACAAGAAATATACCCCGCGAATAAAGAGCTTTTACTGTAGTTCTATTTAAAAGAGAAACACAAAATGCAAAATAGCTATTTATATTTCCAATTTGGAATGCTATTTGCATTAAATTTTCTTTGTATGTGGATAGATTCTAAGTTAATGTTCTAATTTGGAAATACTAAAATGAAAACCACAGCGGCTGAGTTTGAAAAAATTCATGACAAAAATAAGTAAAAACGAAATATTTTTGACAGTACATTGTGAAAATATTCTTCTGTTTAATTTATCTTTATTTTCTTGAAAGACTGAGGCCCAAAACGGCACAGAGACACACTTACCTTTTTAATGTGTAATAAATTTTTTTCCAATCAACATTGGAAGTTTTAGACGTCACAATGTCGATTTGGAGGGGGGTAAAATGAAAAATGGCAAGTTCTTTCCATACCCTCTGTTCATCAACCAGTGCTGCCAATTGATCGCATGCTTTGGAACTAGCGTCAAGATCTTTATGGTCTGATAGTCTGTTTGAAAAGTATCATTATAATGCAAGGGAAATTGAAATTTCATCCAAAGAATAAGTTTATCGATACTTGTAGTACATCATTATTCGGAAATCAATCAATTTTGAGTGCTTATTATGTTCATTTTAATCAGACACGTGTTCTAATCGTGGTATTAAACTTTATCATTGCTACTAACCTCAAGATTATCTCTCTTAAGCATTCTTCGGGCAACTGCAGCAGCTGAGGATTGGTATCGGGATGCGGTTCTTTGATTTGCATTTGCTGCGCCATTTGCAGTATTCGGTCGATGGTTTCTTCGTGTTGATTCCATAACAATTGTGAACCCAACGGGCCACCCCAGAAAGCCGATCTTTCGGCCTGACTAAGAGCCCGAAGTTTGGTCAAAAGATTGAACAACGCACGCGGATTGTATTGATTGGTAACAGCGTAGCATGCCAGTTCTTCGAGCATCGCCAAAAGGGTCTTCTGGGCACAGCCTGACAGGTTCGTCATTTGCTGACCGACGAGCAGCTCAAGGAGGGCACATATATAGTTAAACCTACGGACGTCGCGGACGGCATTTCGAAAATCTAACCGTTTCACAGCTTCATTAAGTTCGTTAAAACCTGCAATCTTGTTAAAAGTCGAGGCGTGAGAAAATGGCGACATATCGTTTATTGCGAAAATATTCTCGAACCTAAATGTTAATATTTTCTTTATATGTTGACATATGGGTCATTGTCAAATTTTGCGCAGGTAAACGAGTCCCGCAACATTATTTATTTTTTTGTTATTAATAATGTCAAAATCCTTAACGAATTATATATTAAATACAAAATACATCGCTATAGCGAACATCCATTATTGGAATAAAGACTCAAGTTTCGATATTTTTCAATTTTTTTCAATTAACAAAGTGGTCATTAGTGGTAACAGAAAGGTTTTCCTTACAAATTGTACCTGTCCCATGTAGCATTCCGTTACAATAAACATCATATAAATGCATTTTCTACTATAGTAACCCTCTTAATATAAATTATAATCGTAAACAGAGTATTATAAATATTCAATAAAATATGTTTTAAAATCAGTCAGTATTAAAATTTAGTTTTTAAATAATTTTGTAAACTTTGTCCCACGTACTATCTGGAACCGGCTGGTTCACTATGTTACTAACTAATTCACGACTCAAAATGAAGATGGCGCTGTTTTGGACACTGTTTTATTTTGGGCGAAATGTCTGCATTCGTCGTGGGAGTTCGTTAGGTTGGGGGGAGGGGTATGTCGCTCGACAGTCGACCGCAAGGTGTTGAACGTGCTGCGTGTTTAAATTGCCCGTCCACCTTGTTACCTACCTATTCACATAAGTAAATGAATATTTTTTCATTAGTTTACGTTCAGTTTATTGTCTGAGGGGTAAATGTGTTAAATGTGAACGAAATATTTTACTTTACGCTTTATTTTTTGACTTGTGTATAATGGAATGTAAAATTTACCACTCTGTTACTACGCAACTCTGTTACTA